ACACGGTTATCTTTTGTGGATGAAATTAACTAATTCGGTAATTTTTCATCGCAACAATGTCGAAGTACTCCTGAGTTATACCTCCCCCCAACATCTTTCTCTTTTAATGTGTGAGCGAGTTTTTTTTCAATTGCCTCTACTGCGTTCGGGGAAAGAGAGATTATTTTGTAGCACAATGTAACAGTATTACAGTCAGATCTGAGAACCTATATTTTTGAATACTGAAGGGTTTTTTGATAAAACAAGAAAATTTCCTTCACAGCTACTTATTCCAATAGGGTTACAAACTCAAATGTTCTATGACCATATGCATTGTTGGTAGGCGTCGGAACGGTGTGACTAATTTTCAATAGACTGTGTTCAAGTACAACCAATGGTTACTACTACACGACAAGGAACTCTAATTTACATCTTGATATTGGTAACACTAAGCTAGGTCCCTTTTAATTCTACTCCCTTATTTATTGATCGAAAAGGGGCAGGCGAAAAACAGTAATCAATACTGGAATGGTGAGATGTATGGACAGCGGTTATTTAATTTGAAATTGATAAAAAAACGACGAGTAAAGCAAATAAAAGGAAACATAAAACCGAACGAGTATACCTCTGAAACGCTTTTCTCTAACAGTAGTTCCGCTGCCGTTAAACGTTCCTGGAGAGCCATGCGCTGGCGTTCCGATTCAGTCACTTTCTCAAGAAGGGTTTGGATTTTTTCATCCGCTTGTTCTAACCGTTCGTGTAATTGCATCAACTCCTCACAACTGGATTCCGGGCGAGCAGAGTTATCCTTAGCCAACTGTGCCGCTTGCAGTGCCTCTTTCAAATGTTCTATTTCCTCCAAGTACGCCAATTCCATACTCTCGGCCAGTCGCAACTTTTGCATTAGCTCGTGATTTTCTTGCCGCAAATCTTTTGACATAGTGTTGTTCTGCATAAAGTACAAAATGAAATTCATTTTATTCCTGTCAATAATGACATACCACATGAGAAGTGGTCAAAATATCGTAGCTTGATTAGTAATAGTTGTGCTAGGCATCCTGGTTGTTGATCTCGAGATCACCCACAATAATCGTTAGAAACCGCATGATATAGTCCAGTATCGTCAATATGGGTTAATCTTTATATGTATATCCTGTCTCGATCTCTTTACCCAATACCTAACATCCGCTCGACCAAGAGGCCTTATGTAGTTCGTCAATCCAAGTCGCTGGGCTAACGTTGTCGATTTGTATTAATGAACAGCACGTCTTTACGACTAAAGTCCACCCCGTCTACGTTTCATCAAACACACGTGTAATTAAAAATCAATAAAAATAAACTGAACTCGTTCAAATGGTGGTGACTTTCGTAATCATCAGTCGCGATGACGAATTGAATTTCATGATAATCAGCAACCAAAACCCTGATAGTTTGGAGTAGTGAAAACGAAAGGGCCCCAAGGGAAATGCATAGAGTTGAGCTGGATACGGACAAAGCTGCCCGACTCGTACCTCTGACCTTGGAGTCCAGAGCAACAGCCAGGGTGGGCTGAACCCCCCATAGAGGTTTCACCTGTTCAAACACATCACTGCATTTACCCACGGTTATTTTGGCGCCGAATCTGTAAAGATCGGATATAAAAATATATAACTAAAGGTTACTATGATCTCAGGGTCCCCATCCAGGGGGCCTAACTGGACCGATGTGACCCAGACTCCTGGTTAGGGTTTCATACCCTCATTTCAAGTCTTAGCTTGACCACCTTT